GCGCGCGCGCGTGTGTGTATATGTATATTTTTAAATATATATTATTCAATTATGTTTCATATTAATAATTAAATTATTTTTGCCATGAAAATACTATTTTAATATAATCATATAAAATACATTTTTTTGTTATATTAAACATTGCTTAACTTCGCAAATTTATTTTGATGAGAATTGCTAAACATTTGGTTCGTAAATTTCATGTTTCGTAACATGCAATACTAAAATATGATCGTATCTACGCTAATTAACTTTCAGCAGAGTAGCTTTTCTCTTACAGGAATACATTTTTCTTAATGTGTTGTATATCCGATTGTGATACGCATGTATTATACAATTATTATGCCAAATACCTATTTAACATGTATGTATAGAAGCCTTGAACGACTCGTTGGCAGCCGAAGCGAAGACTATCAACTTCATTATAAACCTACCTAGAATATCTCGTTCTTATCTTAATTTTATCCTTAACGTTCTGCATCTTCCTTTCCTGGTGACGACATTCGTTAACCGGTGCCATTCACTTTTCTTGCTTTACTACACGTTCGACCATTTCCAAATGTACGAATGATAATTGTTATTGCACTCTAACACGAACAGTAAAGATTTCTGTTGACTGTAGAATCTCAAATTACATTTTTCACTACAAGAAATTGCAGTGTTTTTATCATTATAAGATACATTAAGATGCTATAAGATCGTTTTGTACTTTTTAATTTTCTTTATTGAAGAATACATCTTTCTTCGTTTCATATCTCATGAAGCGATATGGGAATAACGATTAGAAGATACAATTATTTCATCAATGCTAGCAACTTGACTTTTTTAATGCAATTGTTATTGCCATGAAAATTGTAATTATTCTCATTTTTTTTTATAAAGAAATAAAAACATAAATTATTTTTCAATCGACTTGTCCGCATTTACAAATACTTAAATTCATATATGCTCCAAAAAAGATATTTTTCGATCATTCTTATCCAATAAGTTGATTACAATAGTTGCCTTGTAATGTCAATGCTTTGAAGATAAAATAATTTGTTTGCATCTAAAAATATTTAAATTAATTTATGCTTAAAAAGAGAGGACATTTTTTGATAAACCTAATCCCATTAGCTGATCAAGAATAATTATTACAGTCCATTGACTTCCATTGCTAATCTTTTGAAGATAAAATATCTTTGACATATGAACAGGAATTCGAGGTAACTTTATCCGGTAATACAGACACGGTTGTGGTCCACCATGTCTAAAATTTCGGAATAACTAAAGGGGCTGCAGAGGAGGTACCGTGCTCTCGTGGATGGGAAATAAACTAAGCAGTTCCTGCATAATTCATGGAGAGGAAGAAGGGCTACCACGAGGGTTGCCTCGCGTTACCTTCGTTCCCCTATCGTGCACGTTACACATAAAAGCTGGAGTATCTGTGTCGGATCGATCTTGTAGGTCTGGCGCAGTTAACCACGCCCGTAAAGCGTGGCAGACCTCCGATTGGCTAAAAAACCTTACCAGAAGGCGTAATCTGCCGGAGGAGGCGTGCCAGCAACGCTGTACGTTCGTGCTTGCCGCGGAGGATGGGTGACGCGGAGGAGGTAGACATCAGCGCAGTCGGCAATCTGCTCCTGCACGGAGACGCTCGTGATACCTCTTCCTCTCGCTTCGTTGGTGTCTCCAACGCGCAGTACGTCTTGGCGAACACCAGGTGAAAAACAAAATTTAACGAAACCAAACGCCGGTTTACGAGCAACGAGTATCGCGTTTTTCCACAATGCGATAGATCGCGCAAGGCGACTCGATGACTACGCGAAGCAAGGAAAAAGGCCTGGATGAGAAGAAACGAGAATATAATGAACCGGAAAAGCTGAAAACTATATAATAACCATCCGTGGACTACAGGCGGTGCACGATGTTGGTACCGCCTGATATGATTTCGTCCCACTCCAGGATGGTCTATCAGTTCAACAAGTACTTCGGTGAACGGGTGATGAACAGAAAAAGTCAGGTGGCGAAGACCATTCAAGAGGTGTGTCGAGTCGTGCAGGATGTGCTAAAAGAGGTGGAGGTGCAGGAGCCGAGATTCATCTCGTCCTTGACGGATTACAACGGCCGGTTCGACGGCCTCGACGTTATCTCGCCGACGGAGTTCGAGATCATCATCTATCTGAATCAGATGGGCGTATTGAACTTTGTGGATGATGGCACCCTGCCGGGCTGTGCCGTGCTGAAGCTCAGCGACGGACGCAAGAGATCCATGTCCCTCTGGGTGGAATTCATCACCGCGTCCGGTTACTTGTCAGCCAGGAAGATACGTTCGAGGTTTCAAACCCTAGTGGCGCAGGCCTGCGACAAGTGCACGTATCGAGATTCAGTGAAGATGATCGCTGACACGACCGAAGTGAAGCTGCGAATACGCGAGCGATACGTCGTACAGATTACGCCAGCTTTTAAGTGCGCCGGACTTTGGCCCAGATCAGCCTCTCATTGGCCGATCGCACACATACCCTGGCCTCACCCAAATATCGTCGCCGAGGTGAAGGCGGAAGGTTTCGATATGCTCTCGAAAGAATGCATAGGCCTACAGGGCAAACAGTCTGCCATGGAGGGTGACGCTTGGGCGTTGTCGTTTATCGACGCGGAGAATCGATTGTTGCAAGGCGCGAGTAGGAAGCGTTGCCTCAGTATACTGAAGACTCTCAGAGACCGACATCTCGACCTACCAGGAAATCCGGTCACCAGCTACCACATGAAAACTTTATTACTGTATGAGTGCGAGAAACATCCGCATGAGGCGGAATGGGATGAGGGCTGCCTGGCCGAGCGAATAAACGGCATATTTCTGCAGCTAATCTCCTGCCTGCAGTGTCGTAGATGCCCACATTACTTCCTACCGAATCTTGATCTGTTCAAGGGGAAATCGCCCAGTGGTCTGGAAAATGCCGCGAAGCAAGTATGGAGACTCACCAGGGAGTTACTGACGAACAGTCGCGCGCTGGAGAAACTATAGTGACTGACACGGCTGTGGCTGATTATCGTATGATTCGTGAACTAATCTCGCAAATCTTATTACACGTTCCTGTAATTGCAGCGTTGGAAGACTTCGACGCGCGAGTAAGATACGTCTAATTATACAATGACCGTACAAGGACTACGCGAGAATTATCGTGGATTAGTGATGTGAGACAAACTCTCGGGCTTAAGGAAAAGCTTTTGATTCTTATCGTTATTCAATATATTGCCAAGTCATCAAGAAGATCTGTATTTTCCTGGATTTCGCAGATCTGAAGATCACACATGTTATTAATGTTCTCCGAAGGTATTTTGTGTGTGCTATAAGAAGCAATCCTCGCGAGGATTATTATGCGCGTATGTGATGTTTGGTGAACACGTGATTGACTCGCAGACGATCGAATTAGTGCCATAAATAATCTCTTCGACGTTAGAAACAGATTTCGTTTCTACTGTCGGCGCGAAATATAGAGTAAATATATTATAGCCGCAAGAAAATTATCATTCAATTCGTTGCAACGGCGGTTTGCAACGCTGTAACAATGCGCGTGAAACAACCTTTAACTAGTAGTACAGAAATCTTACTACTTAGGAGCGAAAAATCTATTATTCTTCGCGATTAACTCTTTAAGAT